ACAGAGCCATGTCTGGTTTGAAATGAAAATCATTGTCCCTTTTAATGTCAAAACTCACGAGTAAGTTTAGTTCAGTCCATTTTGACTGCAGAAGGAGAGCTTTGTAAGACCATAGATTGCTCTACTCTTTCATAAACTATTGTCTGCATGCCTATCATCAAATATAAAATGCTTTGGGGAGACAAAGCACATACCGTGGCTTTCCAAGACTATTCATAGCTATGAAGACATGCCTTTTGTCCAACACTATACGTAGAAAAGACTTTGTGAATCTCGCATTTATTTTGTCCAAAATGTAGCAAAACACGAGCAATGAAACCAATACAAACCCACAACTCTGGCATCAAAAATCCTGAAATCAGGCTAAGTTTCTTGTGCACCTTGCATCTGGCTAAATTGTAACTTCAATGGTCACAGCTGATTAAAATCGAATATATCAGTGTTCCCTTTTCGTATCACACAAGAACAGTATGGCGGCATCTGGTATAAAAAAAGCTACCTACCACATCAGCATTCTCTGTTTTGATGGTAAGAATGATGCTCTCGCCTCGGCTGTTTTGCTGGAAGACTTTAATTTCCTCTTTGCTGAGTTTGGTCTGTGATGGACAAAAACAATCAACAGGATGTCATAACAAAAATGCCATGTGGCAAAGTCTTCATTATATTCACGGGTTACATGTCCTAGTATGGGTCTAGGGGATGTGCTTGGTTTTTGGTTTTTTGACACACTGTTTAAGCGACTTTATACTCCTCTTTATGGTACGAAACTGCTATGCATCCTTTCAAAGCTTAGTGTTGAAAACTGCACTTTTAAAATTAATGAACACTTTTCATGCTTTTCTACACAATAGAGGGCGCTGTTGCTGTGATGCCATTCAGGGAAGGCATTGTTCAGTTTATAGAATTTTTCTGTTAAAATTGGGATCCGAAATTTGCTCATAGAAGACGTTTCTAATGAGTTACTTGTAGGCTTTATACCTATCACCAAGGGAAAAGAAACAGCAAAATGTCAACAATTCCAGCAGTTTAAAGACAATGAGGCCTTCTTCCAGGACTGGCATCACAATTTAATGAAAACATGTATCGAGTGTAGCAGAGCATAAAACCGAAAAACACCACAATACCTAACGAAATAGGAAAACCAACAAATTGGAAAATAAGATTACTCAAAACAAGGTGCATTTCCAAGAGCTGCAGGAAAAACGTTACTGAATGAACTCTTTGAATTTTCTCCACATAGCAGAGACTGGTTCTTGACAAAAGGACTCACTCTGAATTTCAGATGATGCAACGTGGGGAAGCCGGGGAAGTAAACACCTGTCTTAACGCCTGGACGCAGGCCTCGTTGAAGCATGCTGGGATCAAGGTGAAAGATGTCCTTGTCTAACTCCTCATACCTTCAAGGAAAAAATAGGAATGATATTAGACCCTAACTGGCCAATTCTTTACACCGCTAAGTGGGCATATGGTTTGTGGGAAGATTGTCAAACTGATCTGGAAGACGACAGCAGGCTCAGATTTTATCCAAAACTGCAGCAGGTCCCACAATAGTTGATGTCCTTCTCTGTCGGAACCGAACTACCAGTATGCCAACTATTGAGAATTGATTTTGGATTTTGCCCTGCCTGGCATGTATTATGATATTGTATACTCAGTAATTGCCCCAGAAGGCTTGTGAAAAAACCACAAGCGTACTCAGGTTGGACTTGAACCCAGAACTTCCCGCCTACTAGTACAGACGTCTGCAGCAAAAACTTGCCCCGAATCTCAAGGTATAGCAACAGTGTCTTTAGTATGGAGAAGTCATATTTTTGTTCACGTTAATTTAAAGAACTCAGTGTAACAGATAATATTCAAATTTAACACAGAAAAGGTGTATTGCTTCAACTGAAACAGCTGTGACGTAATAGTGAGCACAATCAGTGAAAATACCCCCCCCCCATAACTGCCTCACCTGACCCGGCAGGCATTGATGTCGGGGAAGTGCCCAGGTAGAGAGGACAGGTATTTGTAATTGAGTGTCTTGTCGTAGGTGTGCTTGAGGTGGGGCCCATGCTGATTACGACTTCGTTCCTCATCAGTCAGGTGCATGCTGACGCTGTCCATCGCCGCGAGGAGACGTTCCTGAAAAAGTTAACAATCAAAAAAGGTCATTTCACACTTAAACTGGTTGGTGCAGTGATACGTTCTACACATCTTCCACTTGTGTGACCTGGGTTCACATCCCACCGAACTCAATGTGAATTGGGTCTTTGGACCACACTATTTTTCATCGATGAATGGATAGGGTTTGAGTTGCCCAAACTCCTTTTCCAAAAATCTCACAAAAAAAAGTGAAGTTTTCTGGAAGTTTGATCTGGTCAAAATTTTGGAGGCTTTCTGGTACATTGACAAGAAACTAGGTATTCATGAAAAGAATGGGTCGGAAACATTGTAGAAAGATTAAGGTTTAGATTGTGAATGTGGGGGCATTTGACCACCGAGCAATGACAAGCACCGTGATTTCCAAATGGTGGTGGCCGGGCGTGCGTGCACAGCGGCCGGTCAACATGGCATCCCATACATGGTAGTCCCACATGAGCAGCCGTACACAAGCAAGATATGGACTGCCTTCTAAGATTTTGTCTATGATGTCATAAGTTATGGTAATCACTGTTTTCATAACTGCTTTTCCAAGATAATTAATCAACAAGCACATGTAGGATGATATTTGATGGCTCTTCTGACTTTGTTCCTCTCAATTCTTACAAAAAAATTGTGCATTCCAACACAAAGTGTGGTTGGGGGATATTTTTGGCAACTGTTCAGCTTACTGTGCATGTACTTGTGAACTCCATACATGAACTTTTCAATTGATTTTCTTGGGGCCGAGGTTAATTTCCTTCTCAATTTGGTAAAAGGTGTTAACGTTTTCACATTTGTGAAAACTGTGTGAATTTTTTCCCACTTGTGAAAAGTTTTCCCACTTGTGAAATGTTTTCCCACTTGTGAAAAGTTTTCCCATTTGTGAAAAGTTTTCCCACTTGTGAAAAGTTTTCCCATTTGTGAAAAGAAGGTGTGAGCATTTTTTTCCACCAAGGGGAAAATTTTTCACAATTTGTGAAATGAATACTCATTTTGTCAGATGGAAAAATGCGAAAAATTTTCCCACTTTTGAGGTCAACTTTCAATCGCACTGTACTGTACAAATATATGTACATGTGCTTCATTTGTACTTGTGTCTCTCCTCTGTTTGAGCAACCCAACGTTCGTGTAACGACGTTTTACAATAAGTTAATGACTACTTTGAGGTTCTGGAAAATGCATTGATTGAACATCACAGTTCAGGGCGAGCAAAACAGGCAACATCTGAACTGGTGTATATGAAAATCATGTAGATGATTCAAACCCATTGCCATCTGAGCAAAAATTTCATAGCTTCAAAGCTCTAATGATGTTAAACACCAAAGAGGAAATGTTTAAAAACTGATTGATTGTGACAACCGGCTATTAAAATCACATCTGCCTTGTTTGTCAAAAACTAGAATCACAATAATATGAACTTATAACACTGTATTATGTCTCAATATCATACTCTCATTTCATTCAGAATGGTTATATGATGCCCTAATCAAAGCAAATGCTCAAATCATAAACATTGAGTTGTCTAGGAAAGGGTATTGAATTACCTTTAAACCTGTACATATCAGTACACTGCAGTCATAGATACACTGCCTTGCCTGAACCACTCTGTCAGTGATCCTGCAGGTTGTGTGCATTTCTTCCAGTGCCCCAGCAATCAAGACATTTCACTCTGACAATCATTTCTTGTAGACAAAATTACAACCTTTTTAACTTGCTGGCACAATGTGACAAAAATAATTGACTAATGTGCTGCAGGACCTGGGTTTTTTTTAACCCTGAGGGTGCATGGCTAATGAGGTGGAACAGAAACTTTTCCACATCGTAACAGTCAAACACTGTTGGCTGAATTCTTTGTCATAGTGAGACAATGCATTGCAATATTTGAGGTGGTTTAAGAAAGAGGAGTACGTTTGACTTTTCTTGGTCATTCATCTTTTCTGTTCTCACTTGAAAAGCACTTGTACTGTCTTTGAAAGTCCCGAATTAAGATGCTGGCGTCTTTACAGTAAACAGCGCACAGATTGAAAATGTTTACCTAGAAGGGGACTATGAGACTTACCTCATCGATGAATGGAATGAGCACCACTGCTTCCCACTGTTGCAGTTTGCCATTGAGGTCGGTGTCAAAGTCCAATGGGTAGTAGTCAATAATGGGGGAGTTTTCCATGGTCATCAGTTTCTGAGGGGTAGTTTCAAGAGAATAACGTTAAACTGTGACTCCTCTCAACAACCAGCTCTTTGCCTTAAGATTTTTCCCTTGCGACTCACATCACTAACTTGGTAAATGGTATGAAGAAATGTTTGGTTAACAAAATCAGAGGAACCTCTCGTTACTTTTTAAAACTGGAACCAGTTCAATTCTTGAATAAAAGTCTTAAGAGAATTTCTAAAAAACAAACAAAATCAATATAGGAAACATGGCACGCTTAACCACTTCCAGCCGGGGGCTCCGGTACCGGAGCCATAGGCCTTATATTTGGGGCCGGGGACTCCGAAATCGGAACTTTACTATAAAAAAAAGTTGCTGGGCGTTTCTTAAAAAGTTTGGGGCTGTCAGTTAAAAAGTTTAGGCCATCATTGGCCGCTGAATTGTGACTTTTTTTATAGCCGGGGTGACTGAACTTATTTTATAGCCGGGGTGACCGAACTTATTTTATAGCCGGGGTGACCGAACTTATCAAAGCCTGAAATAAACGTACGAGCTCCTGAGAGCTGCTGGGCCCTGCCAATCAATCCCTGTATTCTTTCAGCGCAGAGCGCTGCAATTAGAGGAGGTAATCCGTGTATTGTTTTGCAGAGCGCATTTGTTCGCGCTGCCGGGCGCTCGCAGGGGATTATCGCTGCACTGCACCGAAGACAAAGCGCGGGCTGTGCGGGCTCATTATGCACCTGCGCCCCATGAATGACCCGGCACAGGCGCTGCTGGCCCTTGCCACGTTGACTGACAGGGCACGGCCCTCGCTGCTTGAGAATAAAAACGCCGTGCAGTGTTCACGTGTTCATATTGGGTATCGTGTTATCAGAGCACAGACAACATGGCTGAAGTTATATCCGGAGCGTCCAGCTCTTCCAGTGAAAGCGAGTTTTATCTCAGTTCAGACGAAGTTTCTTCGTCTTTTTCATCACCGCCGTCACCTGCTCAAGTACAGCCAAGTACAGAAATTGACAGTGATGTACCCTTGGCGGTACATGCCAAGTGCAAGAGACAGTCCCGTACACAGACCGCCGCATCGACCAGCAGCAGTGCCGCACCGTTCCAATGGACAGATGAAGACAGTACACCGCTGAAGTACGGCTTCACCGGTAATGGTGGTGCCGTCGATCCCCACCTGCATCGCAGCTCGACCTGCAGTA